AATTGTCGTCACAACTTGGTAGTTTTCACTAGCTTCTGGTCTTGGCTAATGAATGTTTCTTCAGTTTTGCCGTCTTTGAAATACGCAGCGACAATTTTTTGGGTTGGTAGTGCGTTTTGGGTATGCTGACGGTCCGTGGTTTTACTTTTTTTGGTTTGTTCTTTATGTTTCTGAAATATGTCATTTTTTGTGTTTATCCTTGATGCGGTCTTTTATGGTACAAACTTTTTCATTTTTCAGGACAGTGTGTGGCCAGTTAAGAGATCTTGATGTTTTCATTGTTGTTCCATTCATCAGTTCTACTGGGTTAGCGATCGTTGCAGAAACGTATTTGCGCGGTGGTGATTTTTTGTCCGAAAAAAATAGTCACAAATTAATAGTTTCCAATAGCTTCTGGTCTTGACTACTGAATGTTTCCTCAGTTTTGACATCTTTGAAATGCCCAGCGACAATTTTTTGGGTTGATAGTGCGTTTTGGGTATGCTGACGGTCCGTGTTATTACTTAGTTTTTGATTTTGGTCTTTATGTTTCTGAAATATGTCATTTTTTGTGTTTACGGTTTTGAGCGGTTTTTGTCAGATATAAAAGTGATCAGCAACAAGTTGAACCAAACATAAATAAAAGAATGGAACAAGTAGCATGGAAGAGAATTGAATTAGCAACGAAGATGGAAGAACAAAATACCTTTGAGCAAAAATACTAAACTATTGACTGAAAAATACTAACATACACGTAACACACAACGTGGGTACAAACAAAGGGGCAGAAGATTATAAAGAAATAGTGGGGTTGCGTTTTTTCCTAATCCCTTAGTCTACGGTTCATGCCGACCATCACGACTTAGCGACTATGTGGCATACAAATCCGCTCAGAGAACAGGACCCTGTTCGCGTTCAGGACCCTAAAACAGCAGTCGGAGAGCGCTACATCAGCCTCATCGGATCATTCCGGGTCATCAACTTCGGAAAAAACAGCACCATCACCAAAGCGGGTTAAAAAAAGTAAACACCAGAAACCGCCAAACTCTTGCCACCGACAAGAAAGTCGGGTCGAGCCAGACAATCAACTCTAGCCGGGGCACTGGGGAACCCGGTCCCGATAAACGCCACAGGAAACATAGTTCAATCACCGAAGGACAAAACACCAGAAAATTCCACGGCAACAAAGCAAACGTCTCAACGTCTGAATGTAAGCCCAGCCTCAGAAGCTTCACCTCTGAAATGAGATTTCTTGAGAATCAGCGGAATACCAAACCTGCGTATAACTTCTTGAGGCCATAAAACTGAAACCAAAGAGAGAAGACCACAAGGCAACGGAGATCATCGACTTGGTGTCCCCTGCAGAAAGCCCACATAAGTATGGAGGTTCTCGTCGTAGCGAACAACAAAACAAAAAACCCGCAAACACAGCCAGATGATAAAATAAACGACTTCGAGGATTACTAACAAAATCAATTAAAAGAAGATCACAACAATGAAGGTGAAAGACATTAAGAAAGGAGAGAAGAAAAACAAAAGTTTAGAAGTCATATAGTCCAATGAGGACTTAAAACTCAACATTGTCGTCATAGGACATGCAAACTCCGGTCCTACTGGGACTTAAAACTCGAATTTCAAATTGTGTTATCTTCACACGGGGGGAATGTCATCCGGTCGGATCGGCAAAGTTACTGATTATTTTATCTTTTTGTTCTGATCAGCTGGTCAGTTGACCACTTTAGCTGGTCAGTTGACCTTATTTGATGTTACGAAAGCGCGACATCAAGATATGTAGGTTAGAAGATAAATAAAGACATTTTGAACTAGTTGTTTTATTTGAGCTCTCAATTAAGACCTATTCGTCGTTTACCAGTCCGTAGGGATTCAATATTAACACCCGAGTCGAGATTTTTCACCTAGTTTGAAGCAAGATTCGAGCCATTTGAGCGGATTTTTTTAGACAATTATGCTCAAAATCGTGCTTCAAAATGAGCGGTTTGAGCGGTTTTTGAACAGTTTATCTAAGAAAACAGCTCAAATACCGCGCAAGAGTTGAACGGTTTTGAGCGGTTTTTGTCAGATATAAAAGTGATCAGCAACAAGTTGAACCAAACGTAAATAAAAGAATGGAACAAGTAGCACGGAGGAGAATTGAATTGGCAACGAAGGTGGATGAATAAAATACCTTTGAGCAGAAATACTAAACTATTGACTGAATAATACTAACATACACGTCACACACAGCGTGGGTACAAACAAAGCGGCAGAAGATTTTAAAGAAATAGTGGGGTTGCGTTCTTTCTCAATCCCTTAGTCTACGGTTAATGCCGACCGTCACGACTTAGTGCTTTTGTGGCATACAAATCCGCTCGGAGAACAGGACCCTGTTTGCGTTTTTTAGATGTCGAGAAACCGAACGCACCACAACACCCTATGTTCCGAGAAGATACAACGCGACTTCCAGTGAAGCTAACTCGGAAGGAGTAACAAAACAGCCCAATAAAAAGGAAAGCCAGAGGAAATCGAAGTGGGGTTAAACAATCACAACGATTGCGAACAAGGGGAATGAAGTTCCATACGGAATCAAGAACATCGGACACACAGAAGAAACAGCAGTCGGAGAGCGCTACATCAGCATCATCGGATCACTCCGGGTCATCAACTTCGGAAAAAACAGCACCATCACCAAAGCGGGTAAAAAAAGTAAACACCAGAAACCGCCAAACTCTTGCCACCGACAAGAAAGTCGGGTCGAGCCAGACAATCAATTCTAGCCGGGGCACTGGGGAACCCGGTCCCGATAAATGCCACAGGAAACGTAGTTCAATCACCGAAGGACAAAACACCAGGAAAATTCCACGGCAACAAAGCAAACGTCTCAACGCCTGACTGTAAACCCAGCCTCAGAAGCTTCATGTCTGAAAGGGGATTTCTTGAGAATCACCGGAACACCAAGCCTGCGTATAACTTCATGAGGCCATAAAACCGAAACCAAAGAAAAAAGACCACCAGGCAACGGAGATCATCGACTTGTTGTCCCCTGCAGAAAGCCCACAGAAGTATGGAGGTTCTCGTCGTAGCGAATAAACAAAACAAAAAACCCGCAAACACAGAGCCAGATGATAAAAAAGACGACTTCGAGGATTACTAACAAAATCAACCAAAAGAAGATCACAACATTGAAGGTGAAAGACAACAAGAAAGGAGAGAAAAAAAAACAAAAGATTAGAAGTCATATAGTCCAATGAGGACTCAAAACTCAACATTGTCGTCATGGAACATGCGAACTCCGTTCCTACTGGGACTTAAAACTCGAATTTCAAATTGTGTTATCTTCACACGGGGGGAATATCATCCGGTCGGATTGTTAAAGTTAGTGATTATTTTATCTTATTGTTCTGATCAGCTGATCAGAGCCAGATGATAAAAAAGACGACCTCGAGGATTACTAACAAAATTAACTAAAAGAAGATCACAACAATGAAGGTGAAAGACAACAAAAAAGGAGAGAAGAAAAACAAAAGATATAGAAGTCATATTGTCCAATGAGGACTTAAAACCCAACATTGTCGTCATGGGACATGCAAACTCCGTTCCTACTGGGACTTCAAACTCGAATTTCAAATTGTGTTATCTTCACACGGGGGGAATGTCATCCGGTCGGATTGGCAAAGTTAGTGATTATTTTATCTTATTGTTCTGATCAGCTGGTCAGTTGACCACTTTAGCTGGTCAGCTGACCTTATTTGATGTTACGAAAGCGCAAAACACGATATGTAGGTTAGAACATAAATTAAGACATTAATAACTAGTTGTTTTATTTGAGCTCTCAGTTAAGACCTATTCGTCGTTTACCAGTCCGTAGGGTTTCAATATTAACACCCGAGTCGAGATTTTTCATCTTGTTGGAAGCAAGATTCGAGCAGTTTGAGCGGTTTCTTAGACAATTACGCTCAAGATCTTGCTTCAAAAACGTTCAAATCATGCGCGCTTTTGAGCGTTTTTTTTTAGATAAACCGCTCAAAATCGTTCAAATCTTGCGCGGTTTTTGAGCGTTTTTTTTTAAGATAATTTTGAAGCAAGATTCTGAGAGTAATTGTCTAAGAAAACCGCTCAAACCGCTCAAATCTTACATATTTTCCAGTGGTTATTTTGCTCGAGCATTTGAAAAAGTTGCTCACATTGTTTTGGTCAAGTTATCGAAAAAATCTTGCTTGACTTGAGAACGGTTAAGCACTTTTTTTAAATTGTAGATAGTGTTTCAACTGCATCTTAGCGTGGGTTGACCAAAAATGCTTATCCTACAATTCCTATATATGAAAAAATGCTTATCCTACAATTTCCTACAGTTTCATAGACTTAAAAAATTGTAAAAAAACTCTAGGTTAAGCGGTTTTTCATATATACAATCATTGTAGGTTGAACAATTTTTTTTCAAAAAAATGAACGTAGTTATTTTTCATCCCCAGACTGTCAGACTGTTGTATTTGGTTCAAATAGTCGGAGAAAATAGGTTGAATATTTTTTCAATGGTTTTTTGAAATTGTATGAAAATTGTTTGATTAGCATTTTTCCGTACATTTGATACAGGCAATTGTATGATAAGCATTTTCGGTGTGGAGAATTTTAAGATAAGCATTTTCGGTTTATGGAGGTCAACCCGGGGTCACATTACCTTTCCAGGCCTTTTTGTTGGTTTTAATCGGTTTTCTTCATAAGAACGCTCAAAAACCGCTTAAAAATCGCTCAAATTTTGCTTGAAAAACCGTTCAAAAATCACCGCAAGAAATGAGCGGTTTTTGAGCGGTTTTTTAAGCAACATTTGAGCGATTTGAGCAATTTTCCCAAAAAACCGCCCAAACTACCCAAACCGGTCAAACCGCTCAAATCTTGCTGAAAAACCGCTCAAACCGCTCAAATCTTGAGCGGTTTTTGAGCGGGATCTCGACCCGGGCAGCGATCATACTCGGTTTGACAGAAGCAATCCCCTAAATATACATATATGTGTTTGTGTACTATACCGTATAAGATCCTATTTGCTTCGAGTAGTCATCTCTAGCAAGGTTGAAAGATGAGGTATCAACCCCAGGAAAATTTCCGGTTTCAGTCATGAAAATCTGATTGTTCATATGCTGTGGATCAGCATACTTGATAGAGAATCGTTGTCTGATTTCGTTCAGTTTCTCTGATGAAGATATATCCCCTTCTTTGATTCTATCAATTGGTGCTCTTTTCAACTTGCTGGCTCCTTAAATTGATAAACGACCTTATTAGACAGACGTTTTACCAGAAAAAAAAACAAATATAGATCGTTTACGAAAACTTAAACACAAAGTTGACTGACAGTTGAAAATGACCCCTTTATTTTTGCTAAACAGTTGCTTTTGGAGTTCTCAGTAAACCTTTGTTTTTTTAATCCCTTGTGTTCAAATTTCACAAAATCACAAATTTGGGCTCCTATTTTTTGCGGTCTCGTAAAACTTCTAAATCAACTAGTCTCAGGGAGAGTAACAATTTTTTTTACATGCGGCTTAGCACGCGCAATAAAAAGAGTTTTTCAGTTTGATGCGGCACAGTGACCAGTTTTTCTTAGAAGACCAACTTTTAAGAACAAAAAGATAAATAAAAAGCTTTGCGCAGACTTGTTTTACAGGATAGCTCAAGGAGTAATTTAAGCAATTGTCCCAAGAAATCTTTCGAAATCAGCAAAACTCAAGTTGAATCCCTCATAATTGAAATTGGGCAGTAAAACAGTGCCAAAGTATAACAGTGCCAAAAAACTAAAAGTCGTTCAACTGTGCCGAAAATTGCTTTGAACACTGTTTTTACTCATCCCAAATCCCTGACAGGTGATTTAATTCAAATAGAAATCGAAAAATCATGAAGCTGGCGGTACCGGTTTGAATTTTCTTACTTTGTTTACTGAAGCGGGTTGAAATAGGTAATTTCAGAAAATGAGCTTCATCCAAAACCTAGTTATTGCTCCTTTAAAATATGAGATTTTTTGATATCGGAAGATTTGTGACTTTGGGATTAAAATTGAGAAACAATCGATTTCAATCAATTTATAATCGATTATAATCTCTGTTTTTGAAATCAAATTATAATTATTTATAATATATCATAATCGATTATAATCGATTGTTTATTCGACTTTGTTAGATACAATTATAAACATTTATAATTGATTATAATCCATTACTTTTATTCAGAATTCTAATTCGTTAGTTTTGCACAAAAATGTTTTATAATCGATTATAATTGATTATAATCCCTTTTGTTTGTCCATTTTGTCTTCGAAGTTGCATTCAAAATTGCTTATATTTCATGCTTTCTGTATATGCTGGTTTCTGAGAAAAATGAGAAAATTTTTTCTTAAAGTTTTCCAATAAATTCAAATTTATAAGTTTTTTCAAATTTTTTCTCTATCAGAGTTGTTTTTTGATGCATATATTAAACTTTTTAACCACCAAAACATCATCAAATTGATTTAATTTCCTTATTGATTCGGAAAATTTATTTTTCATCTACAATTGATTTTAAGGGTTTATTGTAATAACTATAATCAATTATAATCAATTATAATCGATTATATTCTCTTGGAAAAAATCACGATTATGACCAATTATATAAATCCTATAAACACCTAATTTTGGTAATTATAATCATTGATTATTTTCAAAAAATCAACAAAGTAATCCGTTTTAATCGGTTATTTACGGCTAAACTTGGATGCGGGTATTGCCTCGATTAAATAATCCTTGATGTCAGGTTGGGTCTCATAAAGTTTCATATTGACTTTTTCGTGGATCATAAAATACTGAGTGAAAAAATTTGCGCGCAACCTCTTTTTCAGTGGGCTTTCCATAAACCCTTCTAGCCATTAGAACCGGACTCTCAGATATGAGAGGGTAATTTGCGAGAAAATCAAAAAGCTTCCAAAAAACAAAAAAAATCAAAAATTTGACTTTTCCGAGAGCCATTACTTTTCGTGTAACAAAATTGGGCGTGGCCGCTGATGCAGGGGAGCTTATTACAACCCGCCGTTTTGATTGAAATCAAAAACTGACATTCGCGAGGTTAGTTTTTGAGAAAAATTATAAGGCTGGCGTAATGACACAACAAGCTTGTAACATGTTACATATATGTGGACATTTTGTTTTTAATAATTTGACTATACTATTGCAACAGACCATAGATTGTATATTAGCTAGCTTCCCTAAGATACTTTGAAAAGTTTGTCACTGAAACAACTTAACTTACGCGTTACGCTCTAGATAATTCATACAAAATTCTTCATTTGAGAAATTAAAAGCCCCTTCACACCCTTCGAGGATTTCTAGGCTCCCCGACAACACATCCATGAATGATTTGTTCGTATACAGCTGGTAACGAGAAATAGATGCAAACGGAACTGAGGTAAATGAAAGTGATAACTTTTACTTACCTAATTTTATAGATGACTAAGTTTTCAAGCAACTGATTTACTAAATTACTTGGTTCGAACAGTTTTTATCCCACTTTGCACGCTTCTTCAAGAAACGGTAAAAAAAACGGAAAACTTGACTTTTCTGAGGGCCATTAATTTTTTTTTGTAAATTTTGAAACCTCCCACAACCCGTTCTACTCCTGGAGCACAAAATCTCAGACTTGAGAGTGTAGTTTATGAGAAAAATCGAAAAATTTCAAAAAACGGTTTAAAAATCTAAAAATTACTTTTCCTGGGGTCCAACATGTTGTGCAAAACTTTTTGGGCAAAACCACTGATGCAAGGAAACCTTCCACAACGCGTTTCACACATTGAACCCAAAAACTAAGATTTGGGAGGATAATTTTTAGAGAAAAAAACAAAAAAATTAAAAAAATGCTCAAAAAAATAAAAACTTGATTTTCCTGAGGGCCATGACTTTTTATGTTAAAAAAATTGGTCGTAACTGCTTAACCGCTTGCGCAGGGGAGCTTCCCAAAGTTTCATTTTAATATGCATTTAACCCAAAATCACAGATTTTGGCGGGCAGTGTTTGATAAAATGTCAAAAATGAGGAGAATCAAGAAAAATTAAACTCTTTGAAAATTAAAAGAGTTTTTCAAAGCGTCTCAAAAAAAATTGAAAAAATCGAACCAAATAATTTTTCAATCATAACAGTTTTCATCAAACAGGATTTTTTGCGGCCATAATCAAACAGAGCAAATTGATCTATCATGAAACTGCTGGACAATTTTGACATGAATTTTTTTGCATCAAAAAACTGCGTCAAGTAATCGACCAAAAAAGAACCCAAAACTTACTAAACTTTTTTTAAAATTTACTTTGATGCATCACTTGAGCCAACCATGGACTTGAACTCCCAATGAAAAGCTATTTTTGTTGCATAAGGGGGACGATGTTGCAATTTTTGCGGTCTCGAAAAATCAGCGTGATTCAAGAACTTATTAGCTGATAATTTTAGAAAACGGCGCAACCTGCAATTTATCAAAATTTATTCTAATCGGATCATCATATGAGTAGAAACATCCGGTAGTTTGGAGCCTAATTGACCAAAAACGATTATGCATACTAAATGAAATTTTGCCCCAAAAATTAACTACTTTTTACTTAATAACCTTTCTTGATTTACATAAAAAAAACGTTTTTTATCACCCATTTGACATTTTAACAACAGAAAATTTCGAAACTGAAGAGTTGTTTGTTATGAAACCTCAGCGAAACTTTCTCAAAAATTTCGAAAAACTGTCATATGAGAGAATACAATCTCGTCTACAATTTCGATATGCGAGCCAAGAAAAGTTCCCCCTTTTGAAGAAACAAAAAGTGTTTTAAATGACTTATAAAACTGTGAGGTTGAAAACTTTAAATAAATTGGCGCAAAAACATTCGGAACAGAATATTGATTGTTAAATGCTTTGATTTGTCGACGAAATCTAAACTCGTAATATTTTGCTAAATTTGATTTTGCTGTTATAAAAATTTTAAAAAAGGCAACATAGTCAACAGACAGTAGAATCAATAACGCAAAAAAAAAGAAAAAACACTTACTTGTTGTCTAAAGAATTTCACTTTTCGACTTTCAGAGAAAAACGTAGATGACTTCAGAGCTCTTTGAAAATCCAGAAAAATTTGTCATTGACTATTTGTTAAAACTAAAACCGCAAAAAATGTAAGTTTTGATGCTGCACCTTTTTTATAGGAGACCAATTTTTCAAAACGCAAAAGCAAACAAAAGTCTGCTCGCAGACTTGATTAACAGTATAGCCGAAAGAGTAATAAAAGCAAACATCTCAACAATTTTCTACTTCAATTCCGGAAAACTCAAAAAGAGTTTCAGCTTCATTAAAATGGGACCCAACAACAATGCCAAAATTCAACAGTGCCAGAAATCTAAACGATAAACAACAGTGCCAAAAATGCTTTGAATACTGTTTTTTTTTCATCCCAAATCACTGACAAGTAAATTATGTCAATTCGACGGAAGTTGAAAAACCAGTAATTGCCATTTCAATTGATGCCGCTTGTTAAACAAGCAAAAACTCCATAGCGGGAGTCAAAAACGGTGCTGAACAAATAATTAACTCAGTTGTCAATTTTCTTCTCAGTTTCCCTCAAAAATAAAACAATGTTCTAGCACATTCTAACAATTCACAGAGATTCTGAAGTTTAAGATAAGCTCATTTTTTGGCAGAGTTGAACATATTTTCAGTTTCGGCTCTGTTGTTCTTCGGCACTGATGAACGCCCCCATTGAAATATCTTTTTTTGAAGTTCAAGTCGAAAATCGAGAAGTAAATATGTTATTCAATAATTATGTTTCCGATAAAAACCTTTGAAAAATAAATGGGATTTTTTTAACGACAACTGGGGCACAAAGTTTTTCTTGTCTTCGCCACAGAATATTTCTATATTTTTTTCGCCGCTATAATCCTCTAGAATATACATTAATTGTGAAATTGCTTGGCAATTATGACATGAAATTGTTTTGAATAAACAACTGCGTCTATTGTTGGCCTGAAAACGAACCAAAACTTTACCAAAGCTCACAAAAATTTCTCTGACACAAGCACTGAACCAGCAGGGACTTTGACTTTTACGTAAAGCAATTCATGTTACGTAAAAAACGGAGTTGCATTTTTTTGCGGTTTCAATTTTTCAGCTCATTAAAAAGGTTATTGGCTGATGGAACTTTTAAAACGGCGCCACCTGCAACCTATCAAAATATTAAAAATATAATCTTTCCGGATCATCATATGAAAC